CAATGCTCCTCCTCAGAGTCAGGAAGAACAGGCGCAGCCAGAAGCCAACACTCTACCCCCTGGGAGATACTACTGTAAAAAGTGTGGCACCACTGTGTGCAGCCAGGATGGTCTGATGTCCCATATTCTGACATCAGATCTACACAAGGACTTGGAGAATAAGCTGCGGTCTGTGATTTCAGAACGCAACAAGCGGTCTGGGCTTCTGAAGCAGGTGCCTGTTGCTCCAAAGCCACGGGCAGGCTTGGCCAGGCCAGCAAACAGCAGTGCTGCACGCGCAGCTGCTCGGGCAAAGCCAAAGCCACGTCGGTCCCGCTCTGCCTTGTCAAAGAACTCTCCAAGTCTAGCCATTGCGAAGTCAGTGACCTTGGCCCAGCCTGTGACCCCTGCCCAGGTACAGCCACCAGTGGGGATCCCAGGCATTTCCTGGAGCCTCACTGATTCTGTGCCTACTGCTGCCCAGTCCCACATGGCTGTCGTCTCCAACCCTCTACCAGTGGCCCAGACCAGCCTCACACTGCAGCCTCCAGCTTCCTCGACTATCCTCTCCTCAGGCAGGGCTTCACCTAATAAGCCTATCGACCCTCCTGTACTACCTGTGAGTCAGCCCCTTGGGCCTGTCAAAAAGTCTGTTAGAATGAGCGATCTCCCAGTGAGTCAAGTGATCCCACCTGGGCCACCCCTGACACAGCCCATGGGGTCTGCAGGTCGACCAGCAAGACCTCTGGTCAGATCAGTGGAGCCCACAAGCAGACAGATCAGGCCTGGTACCCTATCTTGTGTTTCTGCCAGTCCTGGGGTTCTGCAGACCACATCACCAGGAGCAATTTCTGTGGGTCAGGTGGTCTCGTTGACAGTCCTTCCTGAAGGTCAGAAGTCCCCTGCTTCTGTGATTCCTGTACAGAGAGCAGCTTCTGGGGTCCTTTCCACTGGCCCAGAAGTCCAGCCCAGGGTTCTCCATGTAGACCAGGCTGCCTCAGCACAGGCTCTCCCCTCTTGTCAGACAGTGTCCTTTAGGGTTATCCCTGCAGATCAAGTGGTATCATCTGGGTTGCTGTCCCCCAAACAGCTGATGATCTCAGATGTTCCTGTGAACCAGGATGTGAACTCTGGTATTCCTCTGCTTGGTCAGCCTGTTACATCAGGAGTCCTTCCTGCAGGTCCACCAGTTAGACCCAATGTGCTCCAGCTTAGTCAGTCTGTTGGCGCCGGCATCTCGCCAGTGAGCCAGCCAGTGAGAGCTGAAACTTCACAGAACACCATGTTCCCCAGGTCAGACACTGTTTTCAGGAAGCTCCTCCCGACAGGGACACAGATTAATGGGAAACCCATTTTCATGCTGGACCCAGTGCCTGTCACTCTGCCTATTATTCCTCAGGGTGCTAGCCTCATGATTGTCACTCCGTCCCAGGTGCCCAACCAAGTCCTGTCCCCCAGTGTGGGTCCACAGATGTCCAGTGCTCTACCCAGCTTGTCCTCCTCTCAGGGGCCGGTAAACACTGCAGACCAGAATGTATTTGTTCAGGTTTCTTTACCTGAGGTGGACCTGAATATGGTTGTCAGACAGGCCAAGCAGTGGAAAACCTGCCCAGTTTGCAATGTTTTCTTCCCGTTCAATGTCTACCAGGCTCACATGGAAGTGGCTCACAAACCAAGTGAGTTCAACTCCAGTGAGAGGCATGAGCCAGTAAAGCTAGCAGTATGTGCGCCATTTCTGAAGTGGACAATGGAGAAGGCCATGCGATGCCTCTCCTGCAAATGCCTGGTCTCAGAGGAGGAGTTAATGTACCACTTGCTCACACATGGCTTGGTGTGCCTGTTTTGCCCATTTTCTTTCCACACCATGGAGAGTTTCTTGGAGCATAGCAGAATTAAACACCATGGGAGGAGGAAGCTGTCTTTGGAGTACAGTCATAGGGGCTTCCAATTGAGCCTGGATGCTAATGGTGACCTGTTGTTCCCCTATCTTGATTTCATCATCACTCTGCCAAGAGAGAAGATGGGAGAACAGGAAGTCTGCCTGGCTATCCTCTCAGGGATACATTCCACATCACTGGTTCCCTTGTATGTTAAGGTGAGGCCTCAGGTTAAGGATGTACCTAAGCTTCTCAGTGAACAAGAGCTGACCTGTCCCCTCTGTTTGTGCCCATTCACAATAACCGAGGCCTACATGTTACATTTGAAGGACAGACACCATGTTATGCCGACAGCCTATACAGTATTCAACTCTCCTGCATTCAAGTGTATCCACTGTTGTGGGGTCTACCCTGGAAGCTTAACTACGGCAGCCATCACTCTGCATTTGCTGCATTGTGAATGTGCTCCCAAAGACAACAGCTCAGACCAACAAGTTGGGTCCGGTTTTGTCGCAAGCAGTGAACTGCAGTTCGCCAATGGGGAAAAGATTCCCGATTCTAAGTGTCCTGTGAAGAGAAAGTGGCAAGATGGCCATCTGGGGGCAGAAGACGAGAAGAGGGATGAGAAAGTTTCCTTGCTTGTCCTAAAGGGTGATGCAGCATCAGGTCCGGAGGAAGGGACGAGTGCTATGCCTTTGAAGAGACAAAGGATTGAAAGCACAATGAATGGACCAGTTCCTGATGATAATTTATTCCAGATCCTAGCATTAGATCCTAGAAAATACAAGGACTACAAAGACTGCTCCTTTGAGGAAAAAAGGCAGTTTCTTAAAGAGTATTTCCATAAGAAGCCATATCCTAGCAGAAGAGAAGTAGAACTCTTGTCTTTATTCTTGAAGATGGAAAGAGTTAATGTGGCTTTGTTTTTTGGAACAAGAAGATATATTTGTTTGAAAGCAATAGAAGTCCACAGACCCTCAGTACTTCTAGGTTTTGATATGTCTCAACTTAAAAATGTTAAACACAGACTGAGCTTTGAGTGTGAACCACAAAACTCAGCTTAAAGTTCTAGGCGGTAGTTTGAGCTGACTTTGCTCTGTTGTGTTGCTTTCTGTGGCTTTTCTGCATGTTTCAGGTGCTCAGGAAGACTTGGGTTAAGAAGCAAATGTTACTCCAAATGTATTGATTCCCGT